TTCACAAATCTGTCTAAATGTGTGATAGTGAGCACCTGTGCTTTGCTGACATAATCCATCTCACCTCACAGGTGTGCCACATCAAGATGCTGATCTGACATCATGAGTAGTGCACAGGTGTACCTTATACTGCCCACAATAAAAGGCCACCCTGGAATGTGCATTTTTTTGCTTTATTGAGGGTCTGGGGACTCAGAACCGGTCAGTATCTGGTGTGACCACCATTTGCCTCATGCAGTGCAACACATCTTCTTCGCATAGAGTTTATCAGATTTTCAATTGTGGCCTGTGGAATGCTGGTCCACTCCTCTTCAATGGCTGTGCGAAGTTGTTGGATATTAGTGGGAACTGGTACATGCTGTCGTATACGTCGGTCAAGCACATCCCAAACATGCTCAACGGGTGACATGTCCGGTGAGTATGCTGGCCATGCAAGAACTGGGACATTTTCAGCTTCCAAGAATTGTGTACAGATCCTTGCAACATGGGGCCGTGCATTATCTTGCTAAAACATGAGGTGATGTTCATGGATGTACGGCACAACAATGGGCCTCAGGATCTCATCACGGTATCTCTGTGCATTCAAAATGCCACCAATAAAATGCACCTGTGTTCTTCATCCATAACAAATGCCTGACCATACCATAACCCCACCACCACCATGGGCCACTCGATACACAACATTGACATCAGCAACACGCTCACCCACACGACGCCACACACGCTGTCTGCCATCTGCCCTGAACAATGTAAACCGAGATTCATCCGTGAAGAGAACACCTCTCCAACGTGCCAGACGCCATCGAATGTGAGCATTTGCCCACTCAAGTCTGTTACCGCAACAAGCTGGAGTCAGGTAGAGACCCCGATGAGGACGACGAGCATGCAGCTGAGCTTCCCTGAGACGGTTTCTGACAGTTTGTGCAGAAATTGTTTGGTTATGCAAACCAATTGTTTCAGCAGCTGTCTGAGTGGCTGGTCTCAGAGGATCTTGGAGGTGAACCTGCTGGATGAGGAGGTCCAGGGCTGGTGTGGTTACATGCTGTCTGCGGTTGTGAGGCCTGTTGGATGTACTGCCATATTCTCTGAAACGCCTTTGGAGACGGCTTATGGTGGAGAAATGAACATTCAATGCACAAGCAACAGATCTGGTTGATATTCCTGCTGTCAGCATGCCAATTGCACGCTCCCTCACTGCTTGTGGAATCTGTGGCCTTTTGCTGTGAGACAAAACTGCACATTCCAGGGTGGCCTTTTATTGTGGGCAGTATAAGGTACACCTGTGCACTACTCATGATGTCAGATCAGCATCTTGATGTGGCACACCTGTGAGGTGGGATGGATTATCTCAGCAAAGCAGAAGTGCTGACTATCACACATTTAGACTGATTTGTGAACAATGTTTGAGAGAAATGGTAATATTGTGTATCTGGAATGAATTTTAGATCTTTAAGTCCATCTCATGAAAAATCGGAGCAGAAACAGAGGTGTTGCATTTATATTCTCATTGAGTGTAAAATTTACTTTAAAAGGTGTGGATCACTGAACCCCCCCCCCCCCCCCCCCACACACACACACACACACACACACACACACACACAGTCTTGGGACTAGGCGATAAAACGATAGCAGCCAGAGGAACACACTGCTAATGGCTAATGAAAGTTTAGCTTTAGCCTGCTGCAGGTAACAGGCCACATGTCTGGTAAAAATAGAAAAAACGAAGGCTACAATGAGCTGCAATGTAGCCACAGCTATCCTTGGGTGTACTGACGGAAGTGAGACTGCTGAACACTGGCACCACCGGTCCCTCCGACCACCACCAGCACCTACCGGCTCCAGAAAACTATTCTAAAATATTAAACAGTTGCTTAATTATGTCTTTAAAGACTGACATCACACTACATTCATACAAATGTCTTCAAATTGCATAGCAATTGCACCCATTGATGCATTAATTGTGATGTGGTTTGGTGAGATTACTGAGTAGATATATAAATACTCCAGTGGCGTTCGTGTGTAACGCTTCATTATGGATGTGCTGACACTATTAGAAGATCACAGCAATGGCAGGATCCAGATGGGGAGTTCTTAGAGGCCAGGAAGATTTCCTGGCTCAAGTCCTATTAGATCAAAGTGCTGAAATGGGCCAGGTGTTAAATCGTCCATCCCAGATCTCTCTGTCATGGTAATGGTAAATGGTAAATGGCCTGTATTTGATATAGCGCCTTCTAGAGTCCTGTGTTTTCTAGACCTCTCAGTTGCCATGACTACTGGTGAATTGCCAATGGCACTTACTGTATGTATATGCATAGCATTGACCATGTATGGCACAAAATCACCTGAGCACATTTCTAGGAAGACTTACCAAAAAGGGATGGTGTGAGGCTGTGCGTACGCAGTGTTTATCTGTGCTGGTCTGTTTTAGGGAGGATTTCTTCCAAAGTTTCAGAAATGAGGCCCCAGAACTTTACAAGAATCAGAAGATAGTATTCAGAACTAGAATCTGTGCCTTCCTACATCCCAGACGTTCCCAACTCAAAGGAAATATTTGTTCATGTAACCAAGTTAATCACCTTCTACATTTAGGCACCATTCTAGTTTTATGCAGTGTGATTCTGTGCATGCCCTTCCCTCTTCACCACTTATGTGGACAAAGTCTAAATAAGGACACATGTGCACAGGCATGGCTCTGAACAATACAGTCGAGCTGACTGCGGGCCTGAAATGTAGGTTTCATTAGAGGATTTTATCCCTCGACTTCTCCCACAGGGAGCCCAGTCTATTAACCCAGATCTATAATTGAATTCTTCTTTTAAACGAACGTTGCTGACAGAGAGCAGGAGGTGCAACAGGAATTAAAGCTCTGCAGTCAGAACGATCACACGAATCTGAGACTGAAACGTTGATGCTGCGTCAGTCTGCATCGTCATCCATAAAGATTTTAAAGAAATAGCTAAATCCATCTTGTTGATTTTGATTATCTTTTCAGCTGATATCTTTTTGTGAAAAGCTTCTTTTCCTTCTTTATTAAAACGAACAGCCAGTCTGCAACAGTTACCCAACAGTCCCAGGGACTAAGGTCAAAAGGCCGCAAACTCATTAACAAGATGCAGTGGCGGTGGCGAGACCTCGTAATTAAGAACGAGAGCCCCCCTGAGTGGAGCGGCATTTAAATAGAGGGTGTTCAGGGCAGTTTAGTTTAGGGCGGAGACACGGGGGGGGGGGGGGGGGGGGGGGGGTATAGGGATGGGTACCGAATTCGGTACTTTTTAAGGTACCGACCTAATTCCATAGTACCGACCGAGCACCGATTCACTTCATTTGAAACGGTGCCTCGTTTCGGTACCCGTCCTTCATAACGAGAACTTGCCAAGACAGCTGCGCATGCGCAAGAGCGTTATGTCATCGGTCGCTGCGAGCCAGTTGTAAACAGAACAGCATGGTAGAAAGAACGCACGCTACAGCTTGGGTCCACTTCACTAAATGTGATGGCTAACTGGGTGATGATGAAACCAGCGACAACGATCTAAGTGAGACATCCTCATCTTAATCTGCTCCGGTAAGTAAATAAAATGTTTAAGATAACGTTAGCTTGATATGTTAGCTTCCGTTTCGCTAATGGTGCGTTCGCTTTCTCCTCGGAACTCCGAATTTCTGACTAGAAGAACATGAACGTGCTCTAAAGTTTGGCTTCACTTTACTAAATACGACGGGTGAAGATGAAACCAGCGACAACGATCTAAGTGTGAGGCATCATCGTTTTAATCTGCTCCAGCAGCTAAATAAACTGTTTAAGATAACGTTAGCTTGATATGTTAGCTTCCATTGCCACCATTGTTATCAGCTAATGGTGCGTTCGCTTTCTCCTCGGAAATTCTAACTTCCCAGTAGGAAAAATCAAATGAAAAAAGACGGCAAAAGGAATGAAGATACACAGTAAATTTAGTTCACAGTAAAGATGTTTGCTTCAGTTTAATTATCAGCTTATAAAACTACAAGGACGATGTTAAAATACAGTTGAATGTTATTTATAGTGATATTTATCAAATATTGTTATATATTGAGAAAAATATATATTTAATTATAAAAGAGAAATAAAATAATAAACATTCAAAAGTATCGAAAATTGGTACTGTTAAGTACCGGTATCAATTCCTAGGTACCGGCAATTAGTACCAAATCGATTCAAATGTCAAAGGTACCCATCCCTGGAGCCAAATATGAAAATATGGAAAAGTGTCAGGAGAAGAAGTAAGGGAGTGCAGAAAATAGACAGGAAATGATGGAGATGCAGGGTGCCATTTGATGTTACTATTAAAAAATGAAGCTTATTGCAGCTTTTAGACAGTTGAGATGAAAAAGAAAACAGATGATTATGGTAGCTGTGCCCCACCTGGGCCACAGCATTTTAAAAAAGTCTGGACACGCCTCTGGTTGGAAAATATGACACTAATATTTTTGTTTTATATAGAACAAAACACTAGAACATCTTATGTTCTTACATTATGTATCTGTCTTTTCTGCTGGTACACAATGGATTTGCCACTACAGAATATATTGGATGAACATGTTGACTCTGACCCCAGCATTTTACCCGTAAGCTCCCTTCTCATCGGGAGCATTTCAGACGTGAAACGGCAACAAAAGCGTTCCATGCAGTTGGTCCTGGGAGGTCATGAAATGGCCGGAGAATTGCAAGGCCACATGTGATTTAGGAAGTTCACACCATAACAAGTAAGGGCAGAGCAGCATGTCCCAAAAAGGTCTGTGGTTTACTTTCTGTTGACTCTGTTGACCTCAGCTATGGAAGTTTCACAGGTAGTGACATACTTTTTTTTATCTTTTTGTACGCCATCTCTGCTCCAATGCTTTTAGGGTTAGGTATTTTAGGACTGAGGGCACCTTATAGGGTTCCTGGGGGCACCTTGGTGCCCACGAGGACCAGGTTGGTGACCCCTGGTTTATATATTTGAAGTGTGGAATGTGTTTGTACTCACGTCCGAGGCTGGTCCTTTATCCGCGCCTGGACAGGAGAAAGTAACAAACTCATGGCAGCGTTTGTGGACCACGAAACAACACACTGCGAAGAGAGAGGGGCGAAAACAAAGAGAACACCTTATTATGTACAATCATAGTGCCATGTTTCTGGGTTTGTGCTGCTTTCCCAAGCTGCTTTTTGTGCTACGAGGAGCTCTTCTGACATTTATTAAAGACATTCTTTTGAGTCTTTAAATCTTTCAACATTTATTTGCTAGACCGGATATTTGGCCATCAAATAAAAATTTAGCATACGGCTGGGCAATAAGTCAATAACAATATATTTCCGTCAATAGGCGTGTGGTGTCTGGGTCAATAAAAACTTAAATAAAAGTTTCCTTTCTTTATCATTATAGCCTGTTGGGTAGCTTAATACTAGAGTCATTACTTTCTCCCAACAAATCAAAACACAGACCCAGGCACTCTCCGTCACCGAGCCCTCCCCTCTCAAACCTAAACAGACAATGGCCAAATACCAACACTCGCAGTGCGCTCTACGGTATTCTGTGAAGTGCACTTGGGTGAAGTGCGCAGTAAGGCTTTAAAGAGCAAGTCACCTCTTACAAGAAGCGTACTTCACTCCCACTTCATGTTTGAAAAATGCAACAAATGCTGTTGCCCAGCAGACCGAGAGGGCGGAGCCACTAACAAATACACACACTCATGACATTATGACATCATAATGTACCAGTTTACATCATAGCATACCTCTTAGCCAATAGCGGTGGCAGATTAAAAATTCAAATGCAGTGAAGAGTTTTTACCTGACAACGGCACAACACTGACAGTTTCAGTCAGAAATTTTAAATTTTAACTAAAATGCACTAAAGTGCTAAACTATTGACTACACGTGTTTGCAACATGATTAGACATGCATTTATACAGTTTATCAGAAAAAAATAGTTGATTTGGGGGTGACTTGCTCTTTAAGTGTGTGTGTGTGTGCCACAAGTGTGCAAATTATTGTCAAAATGAGACAGGGAGCATTGCATCATCAACCGCAACTCATGCCGGGAGGCTGATCATTGTGCCATCTTTCCCTCCCTCGTGAACAAGACCCCAAGATACATAAACTCCTCCACTCCTCCTAAATCTGAGGTTCGACAATCCGTCTGACCTGCTTCTCTAGAACCCCTGAATAGACTTTACCAGGGAGGCTCAGGGGTGTGATCCCCCTGTGTTTGGAACACATCCTGTAGTCCCCCTTTTTAAACTGGGGACCACCGCCCCGATCTGCCAATCCAGTGGAACTGCCCCTGATGTCCACGCGATAGCAGAGCTGCGTCGACCAACACAACCCTACAACATTCAGAGCCTTAAGGAACTCTGGGCGGATCTCATCCACCTCCAGAGCCTTGCCAACGAGGAGCTGTTTGACCACCTCATTGACCTCAGCACCAGATTGGACAGTCCAACCCAAAGTCCCTGGACTCTGTTTCCTCACTGGAAGATGTGCCGGTGGGATTGAGGAGGTCTTCAAAGTATTCTACCCAAGTAAATTTTTTGAAATAAATTTACTTTCATTGCTGCTTTGTCAAAAACATTCAGAGCATCAATATAATCATCCTAAAATGAACTACTATGAAGTCTGCACTGATGCCAACTTGGGTACAGCATTGCCTGGAAAACCAGACTAAATAACCTTTGCAAGGCAAGAATTTGGTCTAGTTCACTAGGTTAACATTGTACAGCATTTGTAAAGTTCAAGTCATGGAAACATTGAAAAGGATTTCCCTGGCTCTGTCTTCCCACCTACACTTTCTTATTCTTACTCCCTCGTCGTTGGAATATTGTTAGGCTCTCAGGATGTCTTCTGTATTCATCGGATGAAACATAAATATAACTTCAGGTCTTTGTGCTTGTGGCAATGTGCATTAAAATACTTTTCTCTCAAAAGTCAATATTTTTTTACCAGATTTGCTGTATGAAAGGCTTCAATAGAAATTAGAAATTTTTATATGCCATCAACAGATTTGTGGAAAATACTGAAAGCAAACATCAAAAAAATGTCTACAGTCTGAAGCTAAGTCTGTTGAAAGGATGGCTCCACTGAAAGCTTGTGGTCTCCACCATGATCTACACACTCGTTATGATCATGCACCAATGTGTGTGTGTGTGTGTGTGTGTGTGTGTGTGTGTGTGTGTGTGTGTGTGTGTGTGTGTGTGTGCGTGCGCGCGCGTGCGAAATAATATCTAATCTAATTATTTCTGCTGTTTCCAGTTACAGAAGCTTTCAAATTAAAATTCAGGTTCAATAAATGTATATAGGACCAATGAACTCCATTTGTTTGTTAAATCTATGATTTTGTATTTAACTATAATTTAAGGCAAGTATTTTCTCAGCTAAATGCAGCTTATTCTGTGGTGTGCATTCATAATTTCTAAAATGAAATGTATTTTCCTTAGAAAAATAAATTTAGTATCATATTCATAGTTAGAGGCTTGTTAAAACTGTAAATAATTAAATTTGCAGGGATGGATGGGTGAGAATGTGTGCCCTCGGGTTGGGGTATGGTCTGGAGGCCCTGGCCCATGCTGTAGCCTGGTGGGTGGCTGTTGTGTCGGGTCTCGGGCATCTTGGACTGCCTGCTGCCTTGGGGGCTGTTCCCGGATTGGGGAGGGCCCTCTATTGCTTAGTAGTCCAAGTTTTGTGGCCAACAGTGTTCTATCCAACTACCATCCTTTGGGCTGGGAGCACAGCTGGGGGGCTGGCGGTCGCTCAGCTGGGGGGTCGGGCCAGTTGGCTTGGTTACCCCATGCTGGCTATTCCTTGTGGGGCGTTGGGATAGGCCCTTAGAGGTTGGGTTTGGCTTGCTCTGGGCTGGCCTGTATCAGAGGAGGCGACAGTGTATTGAGCTGGGGGCCCCAAGTTTGGTGGCTTCAAATTTGGCATGGGGCTGGTGCCCTGATATCTTCTGGCTGGACCCCCTTCTTCCCTGCGCTTGGTTCTGTCCTCTGGCCTGGCTTATTGGTGTCCCTTGGTTTGTGGCTATCGCCTGCTAGAACATGGGTGGCCCAGAACTTTGGCAATGGTGGTATCTGAGCTGCTGCAGGAAGCCCCTCCCTCATCACATACACAACAATCTAAAACAAAGTAAAAAACAAAACAACACTCTTGGTGACAAAGTCACATACAGACACTAACAAACAAATATTGATTGACAAACAGCTTAGACAGCTTAGACCTGCAAACACTAGGGATGTCTTGTTCCGATATCAATATCGGAATGTCGGCCCAAAAACGGTGAATAGGATTATATCGGACTGCATCAAAAATCTTCAATATAAGCAGTCCGTTAAGGTTCACATTTTTTCAATCAATGGTTTAAAAATGTTTCATTTTTTAAATACTTACTGTTATTGGTTCATGTTCTCCGATTGATTAATATCACTTGATCAAGCCTTTCATACATTCCACACTACGAAATAGGTAAAAGTATGTATGATATGTGCTGATATCGTATCAGATCGGTATCGGTCAATACTGAAGGCTGTAATATCGGTATCGTATCGGAAGTGAAAAAGTTGTATCGGGACATAACTAGTAAACACACAAACACACACAGGTGAACACGTTCTCTAAGACAGACGCACACACACACAGAGGTATGTGCTTCAATAAATATCGACAATAACGACTAACAGTTACTATTCTGTTTAAACTTTTAGATATTTTAGCCACTTATATTTACAGAGGATAACGCCTCTTGAGATGAAACACCTCGTTTTCAAGAAGGTCATCCTTCCACACATCACAAAAAATTAACTCATTCACTGCCATTGACGACTAAAGTCTTCATTTGCATTTTTTACTGTTTGGCAATCGGAGCGAGTCCCCGCACCGTGAAAATAAACATCTCAGCTCTAAAGCCGATCTTCATCTGCATACGTCACATGTCACGTGATCAGGAAGCAGAAAATCCATGTGTTAGGAGATCGTTTTCGGCCGCTGCGGTAAAAAAAAGTGAAGCGCGAACCGGAAAAGCTTCTGCCGATCACAATTCAACAACGGATGATGAAAGAACGGATAACACGCGAAACGCCCGGATTCTTCCTGATGTAAGAGGTGAGTCTCCGCTTTGTTTTGGTTGTTTTGGCGTCGACATCATCCTAGCACGCAATGTTCTGTGACTCTTAAAAACAGTAAAAATGGCGAGAAACGCTGGCAGCGAAGGGCTTTAGCAATTAGGAAACAGCTGGCAGTGACTGGGTTAAGACAGTTGAAAGAGACAAGAAAAGACAAATAACTAAGAGTTTTTTTAATTACCTGAAAATATGCAAAACAAATAAAACTACTCAAACCTGAGTAACTTGGCCAAACTCACAAACATCATTATGATGACCCCACCGTTTTGTCCTATCAGTGTATTGGTTAGTCTGATCCCCCCCCTCCTTTTTCCTGTCTGTGTTGTATGTCTCTTTTCTCCCTGCCTGTCCACTCTGGAGCGTAAGCAAATGCCACAAACATAATAAAGGCTACTGCGCAACAGGAGGAATGTCCCACATCCCTCTAGAGCAGGGGTCCTCAATTATAATGGTCCGAGGGCAACTAACAAAAACGACTCAGAAGCAAGAGGGCTGGACAGGGGGTGCCGCTGCTGCTGTTTGGATCGCTGGCTGTAATGCACATAAAAAACAAGCTTGCACTATAAAGAAGAACAGCTTCTGTTCCCCTCCAGCTCGGCTGTGTGACTGCACTAACCTGTCCTGTGTAACCCTCACCATGTAACCCTCATGCCCATGCTGTCTCTGGAGGAGCAGATAGGAAACAAGACCTCCTGTAACTTAAAATGGACCAAAGCTTCCTCCCAGTTCCTCTTTAAGCTGAATTTAACATCAGTTTATCATCATGAAACAAAAGAATAAAGTGGAACAAGAGCTTCTATCTTCTATTTCTCTCTCCTTTTAACTTCTCCTTGTCCCTAAATAAGAGTCAGGTTACTCTGCAGCCGCCATCACTGACCCCGCCCCCTCCCCAAGACCGGACCTCCCGGCATCACAACACTCGGTCTGACTGAGCGCTTCCAAGAGAAACAATAATGA